GTCTAATTGCCTCAGTACAGGTATTTAACACAAGGTGAAGTCATTAACACATGCACACACTTGTCAGATGTGAAGCCAGGTGGCCCTTGGCTGATCGTGGACAACCAAAATGAATGCGACATTCACCCACAACCCTTTTTGGCTATTGATTTTCACTCCAAAATATAGATCATGAATGGATATGAAGACGGTGTCATGATGGCATCTGTCACAAAGTGGTGAGGTTCCGCGATTGCATCTTTCATATGACTGTACTCTGTATGCGGAACTTCCCCCGCGTACATCACATCTTGATTGATTTATTTCCGATCCGTTTTGTTGGTGTGTAAGGCCAAATCATAGCCAATCCCAATTAGAATGTGAACAGTCTTTTGTTGCTTTTCGGCCGTGAGCTGACCTATGACGAGGCTGTAGGCCAAGGGAGAAGGTCATTTTTTTTCTTTTTTTTTTTTTTTTTAACTTCTGGATTAAAATAGGTCATGACGCTTGGATAGTAAATTATGTCCCATTAAAACATCAGGTGGATTGATTGTAGGAAGAATTTTTTTTTTTTTTTTTTTTTACACGCTGTGATTTGTGAATAGCCATATCAAAGTCAACATCGCCACCTGGTGTTCAATTGCAAATCCTGCAACCAAATAGGGGCGACCAGTCTCTGTGACGTGCACAGTTGGCTGGTCACTGTTTTGCTCCATGAGTCAAAATACAGACATTATTATGACCTGCAATACAGGACAAATTCATCAGTATCAGTATTCATCTACATAATTGCAGATCCAACTGTAAATCATACATCCATTGTTAATCATCTGAGAGATGAGTAGTGTTGGATCATATCAAATTGTAGTGGCAATAATGTCGTGGCTTGTGTGTTGAGTTGGCTCAATCCAACATGACAGCCTTGAAAGACATGCGCGGTCCCTGCATGCACGCAGGCATGTCTTCTCCCGCCATACAGTGGGGGGTTGACGTCACAGGGCTTCTGTGGCCACGTATCTGCGGTCAGCACATTTGCAATGTAAACATTTGAGGACATCCCTTGCCGCTCAGCAGTGCCGTGCACATGGGCCGCCTTTGCGTCACGCAGGGGGATGAAGCTCGACGGACCATCCGGGTACAATTCTTTTAAAACCGATGAAATTGTAACAGTAGCGGGGGGGATAGAGCAGCAACATTGGAGAGCTGTTGCACCAAGTGGACTGACATGAAACATGGCTCCAAACAATTAAAACAAAGGAGAGGAGAATCAAACTCCTGAACCAAGATAAATCATCACGCAATGTTGCAAAAGCCGTTGGCTGAAAAAAACATTTTTAACACACCCACCACCACAGGCAATCAGGCCTTTGCTGACTATGACCGCTTCAGAGGGAAAATCCTCACATCTGGCCCTATTGTCAGTACACGTGGATTTCCTTACCACACTTTGTCATGTGTCCTAAACTTTGTCGCATCAAATCCAATCAGCAGGGACCTTTAGTTAGCTTAATTTATGACTACAGAATGTATCCTGCCTTATCTGACAGCCTGGCCAAGCAGAGTTATCAGACAAGTCCCATTCAATATGAAGAGACTAAAAATGAGTAACGGTTCTTCCCAAATACGGCATCGTCATTCCTCTGTAATCAGATGAACAATAGGAGGAAAAGACTAAGCTTTTGATCAACCTGATGGTCTGGAGAATTTGATCCCCTTTGTTCCATGTGATTGGAGATCATTTGAGATTAATTCTCACGTAGGGGG